GTCCACTTATATGTAACAATATAACAAGAAATTATTGTCTGTGTTTGCACAATGGCAGCTCAGCTTACACTAATTTCTCATTCCTTCAAAAACAGCAAAAAAGCCATAGGAAAAGAAGACATCCAGAAAACACCGTACAAGGCGCAGGCAGCTTTTTTCTGCTTTTAGCACTACTGTGGGCAAGCAGCAGGCTGCCACGATGCATGAGAGAACATGTTCTAACATATGAGTGGTCCAGCACGTAAGTCAGAGCACCAATATTCCCAGTCGGCACTCTGACTCACTGAGTGCTGGGACCTCGAGAGAGCAATTACCACGGTCTGCACACTTAACCAATTTAATGTTAACTCCTGCTAAACCACTGAGAACTAAGTTTTTCATATTCAGATTTTAGAGAATGCATTTCTGCCAAGGGTGCAAGGTTACACCAAATAAAATAGATTAGATTTAATTTTAATAGTAAAGCTATATATTTTAACAAGGTGAAAAAAAATACAGTATCAATTGTACTCAAGTGATGTTGGTGTCCATAGTTTGTTTACAACATGACAAGAGCAAGTCTGCACATTTGTGATGCTACATTTTTGAACAGGTCCCAGGTATTTAATCTAACAGCTGTGAAAACAGCCTGGTTTCATATAATCCAAGAATAGACACCGCTTTTATTAGCACTTTACATACTCACTTTTACATTTCTCCTGTGTCTCCTATCCTTTGTATGCTTCTGCGCTGATGACAGAGAGTCAATGAGAACATCACATAGCTTACAAGTATAATTTGCTGAGGGACATCTCCGAGGACGCTACAATACAAACAGGATGAAAGAAAAGGCAACTATTTTAGAGAGTTTGTGGAAAAATTAATTATTGAATAAACCAAACTGAAAGATTGCACCTCTAATTTAGGGGTCCTGAGACCCCCTCTCCCCCCCAAAAAACACCCCATAGTCCCCAGTAATATTCCAGGAATTGGAAAACTCATGTACTTTCAATTTCAGAGCCTTTACTACAGAAGTAATAGATAGAGGTCCCAAGTTATATCGTGCACCTCCTCCAGGATCTTGGATAGTGTATTATATTGACCTCATGCACACTTTGCATGTGGGAAAAGTACCAGGGTATTTATTAGAAGGGATTTGAGAAGGTTCCCTAAACGGAAATTAAATTTAGTTAAATACAGCAATATTCAAAATGCTCTAAATCTACAGAGTGCAAGTGACTTCGATATATGAGGATACCATTAGTTCACACTCCAGTAAGACCTCTCTAGTCATTCACTAGAATTTGACATTTCATTCAGATGGGTTCTCAGTCAGAGCAAAACCATGTTTGTCTCTGCACTCTTCCTTACAACATACAGTTCATGCCATTATGAAAATATTTTTTAAAAAAGTTCTACATCAGTGGAATACATACTCTTTTGAGCCTGTAGATACAGTCTTGCTTGAGACGTTCCTCAGCTTCCTGGACAGCCTGCAATTCTATCTGGGACATGGTTTCTTCCTCTTTGACTGGCGTATCCTGGTAGTCATCTTCATCGAGCTCGGACTGACAGCGCCTCCGCACATTCTTTGGTTTTCCTTGTAGCGAATGGTCTGTAAAGCAAGCAATATTAAACAGATTAGTTTTAATATAAAACAGTAACAAAAAAAGGTTTAAAAAAAATAAAAAAATACCCCAACAAAAATACCACTACATGCTGGCACACAATCAGGTGCTGGTCATTCATTCTGTAGGATTTGATCTGCTCTCAAAGATTAGCCCAGGTTTTGTTATGGGAAATATGTAGTTCAGCCCCAGCAGCAGATATAAGCAGTACTTCTGTGCAAGACCATACCAACTATATTGCAGCTTCTATGAGTTTAAGGAGGACCAGTTTTGATTTTTCACATGCTGCAGAGGCTCTGAGAGCTGGAGAGAGGGAAGTACAGAAGCACAGTATATGTTAGTATGCTGTATTCACTCGTTTAATGTACTTTCATGGCAAGTGAGGTACAACTTCCTCCTTTTACTTTAGTCCCTACAGAAGCAGCAGTTTTTGATAATCTTAACTGGTATAAGGAGCAGAGTGCAGGGACACTGACACCTTTCTGCAGTGCTCAAACTTTCCACTAGCAAGCAAAAATGTAGACTTTTGTGCAGAAATGTACCACTGATGTGTATGCAATGTTTTGCGCTGACAAATAGCTTTAAGGACTGGCTAGTAGCATAGGACTTCAAATTTTAGACCCTACTTTCTGTATAGCTTATGAGGCCAATAGGATCTCATTAAAAGCAGAAATAACATCTGGCACCTTCCCCTAACATTCCAAAGCAGCATTAGATGTCTTTTTGACATACTATTACTACACAGTTTCCAACTCAAAATCTCACTGACAAGATGGGGTGGGCAGACATCTGAATTTATAGGTCAGCATTCCATCAGTGCTTGCACGGATATCAAGAAAATATTTATTAGTTCTATACAAAAAAAACTAAACAAAAAAAAACCACAAGACAAACCACTTGTAAAATAGGAGCGCTGTAATTACCTAGTCCTTGACTGTGTGACTCAGATGCATCTTTAGTTTGCTTTTTCTGCCCTGGTTGCCTTATTCCTCTATTACTTCGCTCTTCAGCATCCTGCTTCCGGATATCATCTTCAACTTCGCGTGTGAAATCCTTTCTAGATTGACTGAATGTATGAACAGAGCCACGATCTCTCCAATTCTCTGAATAACCCCGCTGTTCCTCAGCAGCCCATCTCCGAACACCATTTTTTTGGTGGAAGACCATTCTGCCACTAGGACTCTGACTAAAATTTTTTGAAGTAGTCGGACGAGGCCCGTTTCTGGGGTTGCTACTTTGTATTATTGGAATCCCTTTCTTTGTGAGGCCTCGCTGAGGTTTCTCCACATAGGTGTTTCCATGTGCTTCATTGTTTGCATAGTGCTTGAAAGAACTTCTCTGCAATTCTTCCTCATCCATAAAAGCACCCTTTTTAGTTTGTTTTGCAGCATCTCCCATTTTAAAAAATTCTTCAAATTGGGTTCATACCTAATTAGGGAGAGGAAAAAATAAAATAAAAATTTATAAGATAAAATCAATAAAAACCCACAAGTTTCAA